GCAACAATATTATTTTAAACAAGTGGACTGTGAACTGTTTGTTTATCATCGAAATTTTTAACCAACAAGTCACAGGTACTTACTGTGAAGAATTGCAGCCCTGTATAAAACATAACACTCATGTTATCCAAGTTTTCTCATAAAGACAGTTCTGATATGATATCTTACCTCTGTTCACATAATAGCACTTCTCAATTTAGCAGTACTGAATGAGAAAAGCTATTATGTGAGTCGAGGTAAGTATCTATCAGAAATATATTTTCAGTGTATAGTAAAATATTAACTTTTGACATGATATCTTACCTCCTCACACATAATAGCTTTTGTTGTTCGGTGCTGCCAAATTAAGAAGTGCTATTATGTGAGAGGTAAGTATCCATCACTATCAGAAATATATTTTCAGTGCAGAAAAATATTAACTTTCTGTAGCTTTCAGAAAGATATAATTTAACATAGAAATATTTTCCCAATTCACAATGAAAGGAACATTTAAAGAAACTATAAAAAAAACTGTATATTTAATCTATTAATATGTGATAGTCTAATTCTTGCTTTATCTAAGTTTTCTTTATAGCTGTTTCCAAAGCTATGTTTAATAAGTAAATGATTAAACCATTTGATGTGGCACCATAGCAAGGTTTCAACCAAAGCCTGTATTAAAACTAAGGGAAAAGATTAAAAAACAAGAAATTGATAATATATCCTCAAGGGGTGATAGTTTCTTACTAAAAATAAAGTTCTTCTGATGGATGGACAGAAAATTTCTAAGAAAATTCAGTAGGTTGTTTTATTTATAGGTAAAACTATTTTCAGCTGAGCTGAAACGAAATATTAACTTTCTTTTTCATAAGTGACAGTAATTTAGTATCAGAATATGACAAAATATTGATACTAAAATATTTCTGAGTAAAAATTGTTTTAATACTTAGAATTAACATATAAAATTGCCTTAAAAATTAGTGGCAAAAATATATTAAAAGCTGTAAAATATCTTGTCTACAGGTATAATAACAGAGGAGTAACTTATTTTGTTTATCCTAAACTGTTGTATGAGAAACATGTATGCAAAGTAGTACAAAAAATAATACAAAAGTGTTCCACCAGTTTCTCTCCACAAATTTCCACAATAGTAATGTATTAAATTATTATATTTTTTGATAAAAATAAACATATTACTTCATAACATTTTCAAACAACAATTTTTCGTATAAAGTTAATAATCTTTATCACTAAAAACATCAACAATAGAATACCTAAAAAAAAATAAAAAAATAAAGTTTCAGCTATAGGACTACATCATGTGTAAGATAGCTGAATACTTCTTTCGTTGTTACAGAGATAATTATTTTTCACTTATGTTAAACATTTTTCAAACATACAAGCATTCATGTTTCAAATTATGTTAAACATTATTATATATCCATACTTTGAGAAACTGTTACTCAAAACAGGGGTGATCCAGGATGTTGTAGGGGGAAGAGGGGCTCAAATAGCACTACTGATAAATTTATATTACATTTGTTGTTTTTTTAGTTATAACTACACACTACAATCCATTAGAAAGCCTACAAAATCATTATAAGTAGCTTAGTAGGATTATAATCTAATGTTTTCAAAGCTTATATCTTCATTCCTAGTAGGATTAATATGAAAATAAAAACAGTTTAAAACAAACATTTCAAATTTTGTAATTAAAATGAAATAGTTATAATTATATTTAGAAAAACTAGTTATAAAGTCTACACCTAAAATTCATATTTCAGCATTCGTTCTTTTAAAGTCATCACAATTATACAGTCATAGCACTTGCATTTTCACTTATTATTAACATCAAAGGTATAAAAACATCTTTCTCATGGGTATTATAACTTTCAAACAATGAAAAATCGATTTTGTAATAAGTATGTCTTTTAAGAGCTGCAGGTATCCTAAGTAATACTAAATTTGATGAAAATAAATCTCTAAAGCTTAAAACTCAAACACATTGCTAGTGTCTGGAAAAAGTTGCAATAATTTAAAAATAATCAATTATTAGCTGAGGCCATAACCAGATTGCTGTAGACTCCAGCTGTGTTGACGTCAGAAAAACTGAATGAATAAAAACTTTTACAGCAATTAATACACCAATCAAATAAAAACACTGATATCCAATATTTCTTTTTGATACTATATGGCTGTTTTTTTTATTAATTTCTAAAAAATACTGGAAGAGATTTGGGCTCCCTAGATCTATGCCTACTTATACAACATTAAATAATGCAGTTACTAATTTTTGAGAGAAAACAGATGGAAGGGGTTGGGTTTTGTCCCTTAGAACACTCCCCTAAATCTGTGCCTTCTTATACAATATCAAATAAAACATTTCAGGGAGGTCTGCTCCCCTGAGCCCTTAATTTCACAAAAAAGGATGGGGGGGGGGGGTCTTTAACACTTGAGGCCCCTCCTCCAGATCGGCTTATACAACATTAAGGAATACAATTATGTAAATATAAATTAGAAAAATAACACAGTGTAAAAAAAACAGTAAATATATACTAAATCTAATACTTAAATAACAAGAGAGTTGAAGGTGGGTGCTACAAGCCAGTTATCTTCCCTCCAGTTAGCACTTCAAAATTAGTGACAGTAACTTTGCACTAACAAAAACAGGATGAGTAAATTTAGTGGCAATTATTTAGCTTTGTGCTTAACAACAAACAAACATAATGGCAATATTTTGATTATTTGGATATTAGGAATAATGAAAACAGTAAATAATCAAAACCTTAATTTCAGTGATATTTTTTGTGATATTAATGGATTAATAGTTTTTTTGATTAATTGATTAGTTTATGAGACACTAATCAACGTAATCACTGTTCATAAGTAATCAATTATATCAATTAATCAATTAAGTCACCCAGCTCTATTACACAAGCTTTATGTAAAGTAGCAGTAACTGATTTAATCTTAGCATGTCCTTCTAAATCACAAAAATTCAATGCCATATTACCTCTGTTTTCAATGCCGAGAAAAATACTAGAGTACTCATCAATACCAAATACAATAAATAAATCATCCACACTTTTGACATTTATTAACAGTAAGTTTTCCCAGGCTGTATCATTCTATCATATTGTTTTTTTTCTCCTTGTAACCGAATGCTCCCCATAACTTTGCCTGCCCATCTTCCTTGATATCACAAATTTAGCAATTCCATCATGATCACACCTGCAACATGAACTCTCAAAACAAGTAAAACACTTTGCTACTTTGTATTTGCACTTTTTGCACCATTTACCATGCATGATGCACTAATACCTTATATGCCTCCAATATATCATCAAAAAAAAGACTAAAAATTGTTGTATACTTTGCCATAATTTGGTAGAAAATGGTGAAATATTTTGCTTCATATATCTTGCTTTAAATCACTTTTGAAATCCAGTAGTAGTTAATTCATCATTTTACATGCAAAGGATGCCAAACATGCTATTACAATTGGTTTAAAAAAAGTAATTCCAAATTAGAATTTTTGAAACTATGGCATTTTCACTGTACTCTTGACTCATGAATCAGGTTTTTAAAAAAATTAAATTGCTGAGTAAGCCATAGGTAGTGTGTTAAGAATTTCATTGAATACACATTTGGTACTATAACTACATATTCAGTTAAATCTGAGAATAACAGTAAAGCTTACCATTTCCAGGTACAATACTGGTTCTTCAAAGTTTGGATTAATACGAGCATCTCTGATTGTCTTAGATTCAATCACCTTTCCTCCACATTCAAATTGAATGGATGGCCTAATGATCTGGCTGAACTCGAAGGTTTTCATGTTACGTATACCCCAACACAGCACCTTTGGTAAATTTACAAAAATATCCTATAATTTAGTGTTTCAGAGGAATTTGCAAACTGGTTGAAGATTATTCTTTAAACTTTTTTTTAAACCTGATTGAAGCTGATAATATTATAAGGACTTAAAAAGTCTATTGTTATATGTATGATGATATTTTGAAAATTAATTATATTTTCAAAAGTGAAACCTAGATAATTTTCTAAACACTTTTGAACATGCATACACATTTATATACACATGGAATTAAACTTTTTTGATAAGAATAACATTCAATTCTGAACATTTAATAGTGTTACTGTAATTATTTTTGCTATAAGTTATACTTTTTGGACTAATATCACTTAAACAAAAAGAAATTTTATTCATAATATACATAATTTTTCTTTACAGTGTAAAAAAATTAAAATAATTAGGCTTAAGTGTTTAGCAATTGGTTAGGCTTACTTTACCTCAATGGCTGTTCTCTGCAAAACTGGTCTAATACCACTGGGTATAACATATAAATCCCCTTGTCTTGGAGGAAAAAATGGTAGTTCTCCACTATCAGCCTAGCAAAGAAACAAATGAAAAATAAAATAACTATTATGAACACTGAAGTCATTTACTAAACTGCTTGCAACATATAAAGTGGTTTATATAAGCTGACCTTCAACAATTTAAATATGTATACTTGATATTATACGTCAAAAACTGCATGTGTTATGCATGCAGTTATTAGTGTATAAATATAATACATACATATGTATATATATATATATGCCACAACTACCTGAAGTTCCATAACGCTTACATATTAAACTCTCAGGATTCTTTCCTTTTATCTTTTATCCTATGAATATTCAAGATGCATCTTTACATTTTACATATCAAATGAAGTCACTGTTTGATTTAAATATAATTAAAATTACTGTACTTACTAGACTGATTTTATATATGACAATAAAAGTTCAAAACGAAATATGTAAAAACTACAATTAAAAATCTAAGAATACAGAGGTAATTAAAGCTTATAATAAGTGGTGTTTTTAGTCATTATAATTAAGATAAACCTCTTAAGAAGTTGATATTTTTTGTATATTATGCATTTGTTTATCTATTTCCTTGACATTAACAACTGAAAAATATGAACAATGGTTATATTAAGCAACAAGTAAAAGTAAAGCATAGTTAATTGTCAAAGTTGTTGATATGTTAACTTATGATTTTCTATAAATTATGTAGCTGTAGTGTATAACCTTTTTAGCACACTCAATCCTCATGAAATTATTTCCTACATAAAACAAAAATATGTCATATAAAAAACATGTACAATATGTACATACAATCTTTACATCCAAGATATCATCCTAGCAATCCTCCTCTGAGCTCTTTCTAACAATTCTATATCCTTTCTATGATAGGAAGCCCAAGACTGCTCAGACTGAACAAAGTACTCCAAAATGTAGCTTAATTAATTACCTATGCAATGGCATTATAACCTCTTTAGACTTGTATTCGATATTTCTGCAAATGCAACCTAAAATTCTATTTGTCCTGCCACTAGCAACAGCACATTGCTTGAATAGCTTAAGAGATTGATCCACCAGAACACCTTTTCTTTCATAACTCTGTTAGTTATTCCTATAAAAGTTATACTTATAATTCAAATTATGATATCTCACATGCATTACCATGCATTTATTATAATTAAAAGCCATTTGCAATTTTTTTGCTCAACTCAACAAATAATTCAAATCCTTTTATAGCACAGCAGCAAATTTAAATTATCTATTAACCATTCCTTCATGTAAATGGAAAATTGCAAAGGTCCTAACACGGAGCACTGAGGTACCCCACTCATGACATTAACCCAATTTGACTGAATTTATAACAACCCGCTTTCTTCTATCTTGCCTGTTTTCTATCCAATGAGAAAACCTATCCCTCACACCTATAGAATGTTTTTTTTTTAACAAGCCTTTTATATAGTACCTTGTCAATACTCTCTGGTACTCTAGATGCACCAAATTCACACTTGTACCCTCATCTACATCAACAGTAACCTCTTCACAGAATTTCTAAAGATTAGTAAGGCAAGATTTTCTCCTAGTGACACCATGCTGACTATCCAACAAAATTTTAAACTTTGTGAAGTGACTTACAAAACATTTTTTTTTCCAGACTTTCAAAAACTTTTCCCACTGCTTATGTAAGATAAATAGGTCTATGATTACTTGGACAATTTTTATTACCTCCCTTGTAAAGAGGAATAACATTAGCCAACTTCAGATCTTCTGGCACTTAGCCACAATTTAATGATATAGAAAAAGTAAAAGCAAGTGACTCACAGATCCAATTCTTAATCTCTTTCAAAACCTTAGGTAAATATTATTTAGCCCAGGAGCTTTATATTTTCTACACCTCCTTTAATTTAAGTAAAACACAACAAATGATAAGATAAGAATTCTTCTGGTGGAAAACATGCATCAGGTGTACCAGCATGAAAAGACTTGCTTACATGGTTGAGAGGGAAAAGAGAAGTAATGTTGTCAGATCGCCAGGCAGAAGAAGACAGCCAAAGACTGTTATTGTCAAAACAGTTTATAACAAAATTGTTTACTAGGAAGCCAGAAACTCCATCAGGGATAGATAAGTAGAAAGCCACTGAATATAACAATTTTTGCTGTACACTGGGAAAATAGTCTTCAAAAACATTCTGCCAAATATAGTGTATCAACACTTTTTGACTTTCAGCATAGCAATGTTTTTTTGGTAAGCCCTAAGTTGGCCCAAGAACATGACAATTATGCACACAAGTTTTTGAAATATTTCATTTCTAGAGGTCCTGCCCTCTATGGTCAAAAATTCCTGGTATATAATGTTCATAGCAGGTGTACAATTGTTTGGTTATCTTCATAACTCAGCAGCCTTCATCTTTGAAAACTATATGCAAAATCTAATAAAACTTGTAAGGTTAGGACAAAACCCACTGGTACATATAGCAAAGCAATTACAAGAATCAAAGAGTACCATCTTCAAATTTATACAACAGTAGGAATATGCTTTCATTAAAAAGATAACAATAAAAAGTTCCACTGTGAGGTTATTGAAAAAAGAAAAAAAGAGATAAAGAAGATAAAAAACTCTTTCTTTGCAGAGAGTACAAAAGAGCTGAGACTGTATTTGATAATCCTTGTGATAGCTGTGGTATTGGAGCATTCACTTTCCACAAAAGAAATCTCATGAATATTCAAACAAGACTTCTTCATGTCAGACTGCTTACCACAAGAGCAATGATGGTTGAGCATGAAAGAAACTGGGCCTACTGGAAACCACACGTTTTTGTACTAATCCCAAAGACTTTAAACGTTGTTTATTTCTTAAATTATGACAAATCATCCATACTTAAGATATCTGATAAACTAACTTTTTGTATGCTGATTAATATCATTATGTTAAGATGAAATTTTATTTGCTCATGACTTCCACTTATATTATTTAGATCAAACCTTTTACTGTTGTGAAATTCAAGAAAGAGGGAATGATTGACTTTGTACAATCGCCTGGGCTAGAGATAACTGTTGAAGTAAATACCAAAAGGTCAGGTGGAAATTGAGATATCCAAGATATCATTAGTAATAAAATAATTAGTATGTGTTTAGTTTTCTTGTTTCCTTCTTCATATTAGTTGTTTAGTAAAGTAGGTTACCTTCAATAGGTATTTTTAACTTTGTATATAATGAAGGTTGTTTGTAGAAGCTCTTATGAGGTTAATAATAGTATGATTACAATCCAAACCAAAAATTACCTAGGTAAATATTATAGTTAAAGTTATTTATCACTGAAAGAGTCCTTTAACATGTTGGAAGTTACTAACCAACACTTACATTAAGCTGCAAGGTTGAATCAATGGAAGGTTGGTGCTTGCTAATCTAATTTTCCTTGTATACTTTTTCCAGGGTATGTACAGTTACTGGTCAGGCAAAAATGTATATGTTAGGGTGAAAAAGGAGGAGTTGCCTGATAAAGCCAAGTGGAGGAAGTTCCACATAGATGTTATCAACTATGCAGGTAACTGTTTTTACCAATGTTACCTTTCAAAATACCTACAGTCTGGAAACAGAAGACGAGGTACAGCAGAGAAGAAGAAAGGAACCAAAGATATATTTCATGTGCCACTGACAGTAAAGGTTGGCAAAATATAATTGGAAGTGTTACAGCCTCCAAGTTTCAGAACATTACTTATACATTAACATGAAAATTTCATATGACATAAGTCTAGCATGACTTTTACGAATTTAAAAAATCTACAATATTATTACTGTAAAATTAAACACAACTCTAAAATTTATTGTACCCTATTTTGAAGAAGGAAGAATGTTTTTACCCAGACTGGTCATGCTTGTAAAATTGTTCTTTTTTCCAATTGCTTCTTTTTATCTATTTTTTATGATGACCTTGAGTTCCTCTCAGAACCCAAGAAAAGGAAGATTTTTCAGAAGGGGTTAAATCAAATATGCAAAGGCAGTCAAGGTTGGTAATTATGACAATCTGTGATATAGTTTAATTATAACTGCAATGAATCATATACTGTGATTAAAAATACAACAAACAAGATGAAAGATGTAAGTTAGCATGATAGCATTACCAACATTTGTGCTTTATATATTGCAAATAAAGATGGTGCACTGACTATAAAAAAAAGCACAACTGCCCTTGCCCCCAGTCTTCGTTACCCGATGTGCTACCATAACACTCCACTGGCAGGCCTTGTTCTCAGCCTACAAGGAGACTCTGTCCACACTCCACCAACAGGTTTTGATTTCAGCCCACCAGGAGAGTCTCTCCACACCCCACTAACAGGCTTCAATCTCAGCCCACCAGGAGAGTCTCTTCACACCCCACTAACAGGCTTCAATCTCAGCCCACCAGGAGAGTCTCTTCACACCCCACTAACAGGCTTCAATCTCAACCCATCAGGAGAGTTTATCCATACCCCACCAGCAGTAGCAGTTCTCACTTCACCAGCAATTACTGGCTGCAAAAGTACAAGAGAGTAAAAAACCAATATATTTTGCCTATATTTTACAGGCAGTAACTTATGGTTAAAGTTTTGTATTTTTGCCAGTAGTGTGCAGTTTAACACTTTTTCAAAGATTATTTCATAAATTATTAAATATGCAGTTTCATCAACAGACTTTCAGATAAGTGTGCTAATAAAGTTGAACCAATTAACAGCAACAAACACCCTTGGCTTGCCAGATAGCAACTGGGGGAAGAAGTGGAGGGGTGGTAACTGTATGCTAGAAAATGTACTTCTACAGTTACTTGACACCCCTAACCAGATGGAGGAGTTGAGGAATTCAATTAGAAGTTAATGAATTATGTATACGTGTGTGTGTGTATGTTGGATCATAGTCCATTAAATCAAATATTTGCTATATTAATTTTACTCATTTGGCTGTACAGGTTAGTTTTGTGGGTTAACAGGGTAGCCACATCTAGAGAGAAACAAAGCCGGCAAATCATGTCAAAGATAGGCACCTATAGGCTGTGGTGGTGTGCTTACAACCTGAAGGGCAAAAGACAAAAGGCATAAAGTAAAAAAAGTAGACATTCATAGATCTTCTACCTTTCAAATATATAATGAGTATGTGTTGAAATATAATCATTGTTAATGCATAATGTGTTAATTTTGATTTTAACATGGTAGACCTTAAAACAAACATGTTGAGATGTATGTGACTTAAAGGACTGGATGCATGAGAAATAGATTCTAAAGTTAGTGTGTGTGTGTATACATAATATCTTAACCTAGCAAACTTTAAAGTACCAATACTAGTTGAATTTCTCAGATAATACAGGCCTGCAATGGTTTTATTGTCTTGAAATTTTTACATGTTCTACAGTGAGTCCTGTATGCTGAATCCAAAAATGAGGTCCATTTTTCTCCATCACATACAGATTTTTCATAAAACGTCATAATGCAATACATAAAAGAAAGCCCACAACACATAGTTTTGAGACTACAAGACATATATTTCACAAAAAAAAACAGGATGCATGAGGATGCACATTTGTTGGACATCAATGTTCTTCCCTGTTCTTCAGTTTGTTTGTATTTTTAACAAACATAATAACAATAAAAAATGTTCATTGCGTTAAACAGAATAACTTGATCTAAGAGCTTTTTTCTTCCCAATTTGCAAAAACTCCTTACGTGATAGAAAAAATGTAAAATTATTTTTGAAATCTGTGTAGCTGAAATATGGAACACCTGTTATTGAAACCAAAACAACTTTTATGAAGTTTAAATTCCCAGGCCTGTGTAATTATAAAATTTTTAAATGCTTAAGAGAATAAAATAGAAATTTTCTTCCAATTAACCATTCTTAGTTGTTGTTGTTTTATTTTGTGCATTCATACCCTCCCAAAGGTAAAGAAAAGCACTGCAGAGACCAAGTGACAGAACAAACCATGAGGGACAAGGTACAAGGTTTGGTGGAAGTCTAATTCTACAGTGAAAATTCATAATTAAGTATTCCCTTATAATTTGTCACTATCTAACAAAAAATTATGTTCCTAAAAATAATATATATGATGCTGGATATTTTGCAGAAATCTACTTCAGCAAATGGTGCCCAAACATTGGACAATGATTAAGTGGAAAATAAAAAGTTGACTGGTGATGACCAGAAAAACCTATAAGCAGGAAAAATAGTATTATAAAGATCTATCCTCACCAATAATAATTTTAATAAAATTTAGTAACTTTCTTTTTTATCAGAGAATACATGTTGAATAAGTTTATGAGAATGAAAGAAGATGGATGTGTTATTTTATCAGATAACCTTAAAGATTGGGTTTCACTAGTAGGCGGCTCTCATTCAATATATAAAATGAAACTTTCTGATTAGCAATAATCCAGTTTATCTTTTTTCTTTAATATCATCCAGCAACTATATTTATGTCAGAGATTGTGTAAAAAGATGAGCAAATGACTATGCTGTTACTAGAGCAAATACAGAAACAAAAAATTAATTTTAACGAAAAAACAACTTTATTGGATGCACTTACAAGATTTTGGGAACAAAATAACCAAAAAGAGAAATTCTACAATGAAAGAAAGTATTTTTAATATAAAAAAGAAGAAAGTGTTTCCGAAGAATATATCTGAAAATTCACAACCAAAAATATTATATAAATATTGTATTTTTTAAGTCACGAAGTATATATATATATATATAGCGTATGTACCAAATTTCATGCAATTAAGTTAAATATTTTAACTGCAAGAACAAAACAAACATTGATGACATGATATCATCTTAGTGGTCCTGATAGGGTTAATAAAAAACCAATGCTGTAATGTAATATGGTGGCATAATGGTTGTATGAAAGTGGCAATGCAATGCAAAACCACAATATTGTAGCAACTTTTCTGGGAATCCCCCAATTTATGTTGCTGCAACATAAACTTCTAATGTTGTGCTAACCAATGTGTAATGTTGTAGCAACATTGTCACAATGAGAGATTGTTAAGTGAGGGAAAACACAAGGTCAAAAAATGTTATAATTGCATGAAGCAAGAACATCAATAAAATTAATCAACAATGTTAATTTATTGACTATTTACAAACTTTTACACCTACAACAAGGACATGGGGGTAAATCCTTTGGAGAATTTGTCACTATGTTATTTCAATTCACAAATTACGCAAATATTTTCTAATCATTAGACAACGTTATAAACTTTGACCTCCACAGATAGCTGATTTCATAGTGTTTTAACAAACACTTGAAATCAAATTTATTAGTATCTCTTAAAGTAACACCATTTAAATATATTACGTATTTTGAAAACATCTGTTTTATATTGACTTACTAAAAACAATTCAGATGATGTCAAAATTTCCCCTGCACTTTGTTTTCCCTGCATTACATCATACCAAGCTAACCTGGGAGGCTTGGCTGATGATGGTTTCAAATGAACGGCAGGGTTGATTAATGTACGACCCAAAAACTCATCTTCTCCCTGTAAAATCAAAATTATTATAACACTTTAATTGAATACAACAATAAATTTATAAAAATAAGATATATAATAAATTTACAGAACAGGTTTAAATACAATGAAAATCATAGAAAAATTTAATATTTGATTAAAATTAAGATATTGTTATGCCTCTGTGTTCATTTGTTAATTTTCCATAAAAATTCTTTCTGAAGAAACTTTAGCGATACAAGTCCTTTCTTAAAAAAACTAATTTATTCTTTCTCAATACAACTTTGCAATACACTTAATTTCCACAGTCACGCTATAACTTAAACCAACGCTATAATTCACAATGAACGACTCATGCGCTTGACTCAATTGTCCGTCTCTATCTCTGTCAGCAATTCAATTCCCTTGTTGCCGTCACTTCTTGGTGGTTTTATATACAAGAATACCGTACATCTAGTAAACACTCGGGCATTCACGAACCATCGAGAATATCATGACGTGTTACTAGCATCACGTGACTACCGCTGTTGTAACAATATGTTTATGGTACCAATTGTGAAACATTATTCAAAATTTCTTATAACACATAAGATTCAGCCAAAAAAATTGAAAAATAAATACTGGAAGATGTGAAGGTTGTAGAAGATGTATATGATACACATTTAGCAGTAACACCATTATAATCTGTACTTCAGAGGAAAAATCACAGTCTCTTTATATAAACATTTTTCCTTTAGTACAAATACTAACACTGGTCTTGAATTTCAAATGACTGAAACACCAAAAGCAAAAAATGAAGAGAATGATAATCACACTGTGGTGATCAGTCAAATATTATGAGCCAATTACAGTAGTATAATAATTTTCTATATGTTGTATTACTGTAACTTGCTTTAAAACCAACTGTTAATTCTTATAAGCCCTCAAATTATATATGTTGCAATTAAAAGTTACAACTGCAAAATGAGAGTTTACAACTGATTATGCTACTGTATTAATTTTTAATATGTATTCATTGGTTTTATCCAGGAACTACAGGTTTGGTTTGTTATGAATTGCATGCAAAGCTACACAAGGGCTATTTGCACTAGCCATCCCTAATTTAGCAGTGAAAGACTAGAGGGAAGGCAGCTAGTCATCACCACACACCACCAACTCTTGGGCTACTCTTTTACCAACGAATAGTGGGATTGACCATAAATTATAACTCCCCCACAGCTGAAAGGGTGAGCATATTTGGTGGGATGGGGATTGTACCCCGCGACCTGCAGATTGCGAATCGAGAACCCTAACCACGTGGCCATGTCAGGCGAAACTATGGGAAGGCTGTAAGAAATCCCATTTAAGAAATTGTTGCACTGAAATTTCCAGATGTGATGATTTTAACACTGGAACATATGTTGTGATTAATAATAAAAATTATCTTTGATAAAATTATCTCACCTAACTGAATAGCACATAATTATAACTTTCTCATCAAGTTAATCAGTATGTGCAAAAAACTACATTTGAAACCAGCTAACTAACATCTACCAAGAATGTGTAATAACTAATTGAAATTAAAAAGCTAAATTGCACAAATAAATGGGAAATACATTTTTCAACTATCACATTAATGAAAAACCTGTTAATGCCAATTACAAATAAGTAAAAGAACAAAAATATATGACTGTTGCTTTTCTAAGATCACTGCAAAGTCCATATGTATTTTATGAATAAGCTAATACAGAGCACATAGCTTATTCTGATCAGAAGTTATTGTTATTTACTAATGTAATCTTCTGTTGATGCTGTAGTTCACAACCAACTCCAGGATGAAGAAGATTAAAAAGAGTAAGCCAATGTAGGATAAAGAGCTTACTCTGATCAGAAGTTATTAACATTTACTAATGAAGTATTCTCTTGTTCATACTGTTACGTCTCCGTTCATTAGTTAATTTTCCGTAACTTCGTTCTGACGAAACTTTAGTGACACAAGTCCTTTCTTAAATAAAACTAGTTTATTCCTTCTAAATATAACTTTGCGATACACTTAATTTCAACAGTCGCGCTATAACAATGAACGTCTCACGTGCTCAACTTCAACAATACTCCGTTCAATTACACACTCTCTGACTGCACTTCAATTACTCAATGTTTCGTCACGTTGTGACCATCTTATATATACCAGACTACCCCCAATCTAGTAGTCTCCCGATAATTCACGAAGGTTCGAGAATGACGTGGCGTGATACTAATCACGTGACCTTGATGTCGTAACACTGCCCCTTCCTTAGTATTATTTGTCCCGAACAATAGCCACTTACATTAAACCAATAACAATTAACAATAACTTAATTAAATGTACAGAATTACAAACACAAAATTACAATTCAACAAAGTCTCTTAATTTTACGGGACGTATCTTCTTCCATACTGGTCTCCGTCTCGTTGGTTTCTGCTTCATATGGGGTTCCTCTGCTTCATCAGGAAATGTTCTATCGTCGATAACAGTCACATCAGTGGTAGTAACTTCATCAAGAGCTTCACCGTTTCCCTTCTCAAAACTGAGTAGAGTTTCTTCTTCAATGGTGGCTTCTTCAGGTAACACGTCTTCAGCAACGTCATTTGTTCCTTTGTTCACTTCGTCCCAACTGAAATGTCCTGGACCGTGATAATGCCAAAGCCTGTTGGCATGCACCACTTTTGGCTTACCTCGCCGACCACATTTTACCCAGAAAGTCACGTCTGAGAGATGATCCACTATGTCATATGGGCCTTCCCATCGAGATGACAACTTAGGAGACATCCCTTTGGTCTTCCTGGGATTATACAACCACACCTTGTCTCCTGGTTCAAAGCTGACTTCAGTAGATCTCTTATCATAAAATAGCTTCATCGAATCAGCAGACGTTTTCAAGTTTGAACGTACTTGATGGTTAATATCATCCATCCTTTCCAATAACACTTTCACAAACCCTGACACATTCTCAGGCAACTCTTCATAAGGTGGGCATCCTATTAACAGATCCACTGGCAACCGAAGTTCCCGACCAAACATCAACTTTGCTGGAGTATATCCAGTGGTTTCATGTTCTGCTGTCCTATAGGCCATCAACAGTGGAGGGAGTAAGATATCCCGGTCATCTTGGTGGCTATTACAAAACTTTGCCAATTCCTGTCTCAATGTCCAGTTGTACTTTTCTACCATCCCATCAGACTGTGGGTGAAGTGGCGTTGTCTTGGTCTTTCGGATGCCAAACAACTTGCAGCATTCTTGGAACACAGCTGATTCAAAGTTACAGCCTTGATCTGAATGCAA